GAACAGAATCTGTAAAGGTCTCTTTGTCTGATAATGTTTTTTCTTTTGCACCTTCCTACGGGAAGGCTGCTCTGATGAATATCTTCCAGCTCATACATCTGCTATCCTACAATGTACAGGTTATTTTATTTCATTTTAGTTTTTCAACCTATTGCATGGTTATACATTTTGGGGGGCAGGGGGAAGGATTTCCATGCAGCCTGTTCCATTATTCATAAAATCTACCTCTGCATCTCCAGGAGGTATATAAACAGTGCTCTTTTCCAAAATTCTACATTTTTAAATAATAGTATTTCTTCTTTGCTCTCCTAAATTTGTTCACATATGTAAGATAGATACATGCATTTAAATGGTGAAGAGTCTGTTTTATAATCAAACGTTGAAAAGAACAAACTTATACAGTAGGATCTTCTGTGTGAGATGGGTACTGTAAAGAATAATTCACTGTTTCAATTTCTTTAAGATATGGATAGGCACATTTCTTGGAGGGAGGGAGGGCATATTCATGAAAGTTTAATCTTCATCTTTATTGCTAGAGTACATTTTGTGATATCACCCATAAGTGACTTATCTGTTTTCCATTCAGACTTACTTTAAAACAGTATCTAGCATATCCTTGTCTTTTTCTAAACTTCCTTCATTTCTTAAACTGTTGTCATTCTCAGTCCTGTGTGCATATCCCACATGTTATCAGGATTATAAGGTTGCCTGAAGAGAAGCATCTCTATCTTTGTAAAGTTCCAGAAAAGTTTATTGATGTCATGGGTGTTCATATATCATTCTTTTTATGGAGGGCTCTTTCTTGTAGAGATTATTTCTCACAGAAAAAAAAAAAAAAAAAAGAGAAAAAAAGAAAAAAGATTACCCAATTGGAGACCACATCATTCTATAATCTTAAAATACCATGATTTTAATTGAGTTTGTGAGTTTTAGAGATTGCTGTATGCTCAGTAAGATCAAGTTAGAATGGTCTTCAATATTAAGAATAGTGAGGATAGCCCGTGGTCTTTGTCTCCAGTGTACTCCACATTTTTTCATTATATGTTGAGAGAACACTCATGTTTGAGGATAGAACTTCTCATTGGTGGTGTTCAAAGCTCCTTGTGCATGACGAATGTCATCGTTGTTTGAAGTCTCTGTTTTGGAGCTTCAAGCGTGTATAAACACCTTGAATGCCAGCCCCAAAGACCTGAAATGTAGTGTGTTCTCCAAGAGGGTGCTGGAAGGATCAAGGACATATTTGCAGTAGTCACAGTGGTAGAAAGGGTAGAAGAGACACAGTGCACTGTTTTTTGTCTTGGGGAATTGAATAGCTCGTGCTCAAGTATTTTGCATAACCACAGAAACGTATTAAATAGCAAGGATATGAATAAATGGTTTAGTGAGCCAATAGAAAGGGATGAATCCAGATAACCATGTCGAGGTGATGACGAGTATTAATGGTCGTCTTCTCTGACAATTTAGTGTCTTAAATGTATCCCGAAGTTATCTGGATTAGCCACCTATATGTACCTCCAGTTTCAACTGCAGACTGGTTCACCTGTATCTTCCCTAAATACTGATCACTAACATAAACATCGCTTTGCTTGCTTTTCTTTTGTATGGACTGCCTTTAGCTGTAAGATGACTAGCAGTGGTGCATCATATGGGGCAAAGGCTGAATAGCACAATCTGTCTCCTGTCGCTGACTATTCAGCATCAGGTTTAAGTCATGTATGGTACGTGAAAGTAATGTTATAATTCATGAGGGTAATACTATTTCAAGATATAGAAATACAATGTATTGTACATCTCTAGTAAATTATCTGGGAAATTTAGCTGTTGAACAAATTTTTCTGATTTTTGTCTCCAGCTTTCTCTGAAGTCGTACTTTACCCATCCTGTAGCACTCTACTGATCTTAAAAACTGATGTGCATTAATTATACGAAGTGGAAAAGGTGACATATAGGTGGAAACATAGGTGAAGGCATGTAGGTGAAAAAGTTTTCATACATAAATAAAAAAATCCCCCAAAATACAAGTTCAGCTTGAGAGGTCAGATTTTTGATTTACATTATTTTATGAAAATGTAAGTTCTGTGAATTCGTATTATTTCATTATTAATTTCTTAAATCCTCTCAATTTGGGCCAATGACTTCTGTCTCTCTGGTCAGTTTTAACCATATGATGACAGAGTAGGATTTCAAAAATGTTAAGTCCCATGAGTTTTCCTGAGATCTGGAAATAGATGTTTGGCTTCTTGGATGACCAGCTGACAATGATGCAGCATGGAACCACCCATAGCACGTAACTATTTCTATAATATAGTTGTATATTTTTATCTGTTTTTGAAGAGAAAGAAAGTAATGTAAAAAACTTTGTGGAAGAAGTGAAAGAAAAGAAGAACTTTGCTTTTTGCAGTGAAAGGTCACAGAAGATATGCTTAAAGATTGGGTTGAAGAAGAGGGAGAGATATAAACCTGTGTCCACAAACTGATTTTGCTAGGTGGTTTATGGAGCATCCTTCTAAACACTTTGCCACTAAAGCAAAAATATTTTTTGTTGTCTTTCAAAGCCTGTGATCTTACTTTACACCAAATGCCCATGTAGTGGATATCTGAGTGTGTTATGGACCATAAAAATTTACTTTCTTCAGCTTGTTTTGCAAACCCAAATGAAATGCAGTAGTCATCTCTCCAATGCCAAAGCTTGAAGTGGAAACAAAGAAAGTATAGTCAAATTATTTATACCTGAAAATGTACTGAAACCATCAAACAAACATACTAGACCTCTGGTATGATACTAGATACTATCTAGTGTCCACTTCTACTGTCACTTAGCTTTTATATATTCAAGAAGACTCTGTGACTGAAATGCCAGTTCCTGTTGACAATTTTGATTTTGTTGTTGCTTTTTAATGATGCTAGTTTTACCCACTGAGCTTTTAAACATAGTGATCTTCAGATCTCCTATCAATACTTTTATTGCTGTAAAAGGATTCTTCTTGGTACTAGTTTTTAAACAAAACTACTATAAGCAATCATTTTAGAGGTTCTGTTTCTGAGACAGCTTTAAAAAAGATGTCTTATATATTTGCTCTTGCTTTAAATGTTAAATATCATTGCACATAATGATGTGAACAGATGGTGTGCTGCATAAGCTGTTAATCATTTTACACATCACTTTTTATTAGTGAAGTGTACATGTTTGATTAATATTAGCTTTTGATGTATTTGGAGTTGTCTGTTTTTTGACAGTGTTAGGAGATATATTCTAATCCATACGGATTTAAATTTTTACTCCAGTAGTAATAGAGTTGTTGCAATCACTAGTTTTGAATTACATAAACCTTTTAATTGTGGAAAAGAATTACCTGGTTTAGGTTTAAATATTGGAAAGAATTTCAGAAGTAGGAGGGTAACTATTCCTGCTAAAATGTTTCAGAGAAATTAAATGTAGATGTCATTGGTCCAGCTAAATAAACAGCATATCTTGAAATTAAGCACCAGACGCTAAGGTGTAAAATGAAACAGCAACAGTTCGATTCAGATCAATATTCTTTTATATCTTCCACCTACAGAATGAGAGAACTTTGTATTTGTCTGCTCAACGGGTCTGGATGTTCTGCAGGCATTACACCTATGTCAATTCAGTTGAAATTAAAAAAGCATCTCAAGAGGCATCTCAGGCTTACAGACATAGCACACAAGTAATGCGTTGAGATTTTTGACTGCTGTATTTTTTGAAAATATTGTTTACCAAAACATTATTTTGTTGTAAATATTCTTGTCTCATCTAAAACCTGGAAGATTTTCATGGATGAGACAATGATTTCTAGTTGTAAACCAGGGCTTGTAGTTCTGCTAAATGGCAATAACATTTAATGAGAGATTTTGCTCTAAACTGTAAATTCTTTAGAGTGTGAGATGCTCAGCCTGTCAGAATAAATAGAGGAAGCTAAAAACACTTACTTTGAAAATGACTGTTCATTTTGGAATGCTCTGGGTGATCTCGGTGAAATAGAACTGAGTCAGTTGTGCTTTGGATAAAGTTCAAATTCCCAGCATGTATTCTGGCAGCATCTTTTCTTCAATGATTCTATTCCTTAATATCTTTTATGTTCAAATAACACATGGCTGTGATTATATGCTGTGACTGTTCAGATTTCAAATAACTTTCACCAATTCCTTTTAGATTGTATAAAGAAATTACTTTTATCCACACTTATTTACAGATTTTTCTGCCTGTTTTCTTGTATGTGTAAGAATAACTGCTAGGGAAAGAATTTATGAATTTATTAAAGAAATTATGCTGTAGAACTAAGAATTACCTAGGGACTATATTTTTTAAAGCTTAATGTTGAATGCAGGTTAAGTTTAACTGGCGTGACCGTAATAGTTGGTCAGGGTTTCATGTTTTACCATTAAAATTATTCTGGAATGCTATAGTCCTGTTGCCTGTGCTTCCCAAACACCAGATCCTTCTAGAAACGTGCAGAAGGAAAAATCTGGAAAATGAGGAAAGGAGTGTCTCAAATAAAAGAATCCCTCTTGAACCTGCAGTTTCATTTCAGGAGTGAAAAATTTGGTTCCTGGATGATCTGAAAGGAAAGGATCTGAAAGGAAAAACTATAAATATCTCTTTTGTTATGTTAGAGAGAAAAATGCATGTAAACATTTGTGCCTAATCTATGGTGAATAATGACTGTCATTCAAGAAAATATTTTAGTGTATGAAATGCTGAATGGTAGCACACCAATTGTTGCAAATAAAACAAGTAATGGGAAATATCTGGTTAAACTCACTATGTGTTTCATTGTTTTAACTGATAAGTAAATTAAATGCATATTTCTTTTCCTGCTATCACTAACTACTTGAGGTTTCTTATATATATGTTTTCATTAAAAGACAGCAATTAGACATTCTGAATCTTCCTGTTCTTTCTACCTTCCGTGTTTAAAAACTGAAGAAACAGGCATTTTTGACGTTTTGATCTAAACGAATGCTTTCTGTCTTTGCAGGTTAATAATGAGAATGTTGTGAAAGTTGGCCACAGGCAGGTGGTGAATATGATTCGACAAGGGGGCAATCACCTAGTTCTAAAGGTTGTCACAGTAACAAGGAATCTTGATCCAGATGACACAGCTAGAAAGAAAGGTACATTTTTCTCTTTTCCTAATGGATTTTTTTTCAGTCTTGCTCTACAGAGAACAGGCTGTGGGCACAAATCTAATTTATAAACTTCCCTTTTTCAATTTGTAATGCTCTTTTGCTATTTTGCTATTTATTTTAGAGTAATTTAATTCTGTTTACTTATGCATTCACATGTGACAAGAAGGGTCATTCCATTGTCATGCTTGTCATGAAATTTCATCTTTGTGGATCTTTCAGATATTATCAGTTGAAGGTGTAATCAAACTTCTTGACATGAGTGTCTCGATGGAGAAAACTCACAAAGAACTGATTATCGTTTATTAATTAATTCCAAACATACTTGAAGTTAATTTGACTCCTGTTGAGTCAAATAGAGTCATACTGCGAATGTACAGGTTTTCAAATTTTATTAAAGAAACTGTAAGATTAAGAAAAGCAAGCAATATATTTTGATTGAATTTCTGATAAAAGAAACAGTACATTAGAATCAGAAAATCATTCCAGGTGAATTCAAGTAGAGGGGTTGTCCCAGCCAGGGAGAATTCCCTCTTCTTCCTCTAAGTCAAAAATATGCATGGTTTCTTTTTCTGCCACTTGGTTGCTAACAAGAAAGCAGTGGCTCCTGGAGAGTTTAATGTAGCATCATGTGCTGCAAGACTTTGGAAAACAGTTGTCTGGGTACAAATATGGGGAAGTTTTTTCTCAGTTTGAAAGTGTAATTTTTTTTTTTTTAACACTGTCTTTAGTAGAGATTATGGGATAATGTATAAAGACTGAGTTACTCTGTTAAGAATTGTAATGTTCTAACTTCCCCCTCCTCCTCCCACCCTCCAAAAAAAAAAAGAAAAAAAGAAAGAAAGAAAGAAAGAAAAAAAAAAAAATTGAATTTTGCACTGTTTCTTTCACCTTAGATGCTTCTTAACTTGCTCAGGTAAAAGTTACTCAGGGAAGTTATTTGAATCAGAGAATTATAGAATGCCTTGAGTTGGGAGGCACCTTAAAGATCATCCATTTCCAACTCCCCTGTTGTGTTCCGAGCTGCCCCCCACCAGCTTAGGCTGCCCAGGGCTCCATGCAACCTGGCCTTGAACACCTCCAGGGTAGGCACTCACAACTTCTCTGGGCAGCTGTTGCCAGTGCCTCACTGCCTCTGACTAAAGAATTTCCTCTTAGTATGTAATCTGAACCTCTCCTCTTATCCTGTCGTTATCAGACAATGTCAATAGTCAGCCTTGCTTCTGTTCATAAGCTCCTTAAAGTACTGGAAGGCCCACTTCTCAAGCTGTCCATGTCCCTCTGGATGGCATCCCTTCCTTCTGTTGTATCAACTGCACCACTCAGCTTGATGTGGTCTGCAGAGTTGCTGATGGTGCAGCTTCTCTCAAAAATTTGTTGTCTCTTTTCTCATCAGGAAAGAGCAGACTTCAAGCTGGATTTAATATGTGTAGCACTTTTGTAGTACGTACTGTATGTCTGGCACTGAACTCGAGCTATGTTTTTATGCTCTCATGACATACTTTTGTTCAAATCTCTGTGAGAGGATGATAGAGCTTAACAGGGGAAAGATGATGCTTATATAGTGTATATAGGTGATACGAGAAGACAGTTGTCTACTTCCCTCTCTCCTGCCTTCTCCTCAAACTGCTTTGCCTTCTTTAGTCAGAATAGTGTAGCATAGTGTATGTTATTGATGCTTCCAAATCCTTGATGTTTTGCCTGGTGTCCCAGTGCCATTTCTGTTTACTGGACAACTCCAGCTTTCCTACCAACATTGGCATAATCTTTTCTGAAGTTACCTCCCCTTTCTGACCTCTGGAATGGATTATATCAATATGTTTTCTGGTTTGGCTACATTTGAAGCTAGCAAAAAATATTTATCATCAGGATAATAAAACAGATGCTGGTTCTGAGCTAAATGATTGCCTTGATATTTTAAGCTTTACTTTGTGTTCTTTATCTCGAGAATCACCTGTTTTATCTTGTCTCACTGTAACTGTAAAGATAAATGTGAATCTTCTTATGTTTCTGAGATTTCTGAAATTAATCTGACAGAGGTTGGCTGGTCTCTAGGAGAGTTTTAGTTGTGTACATTTCTTAGAAGGAGGGGCACAAGTGCTGGGAGGCACTTTCTCTAGAAAGTCTTTTTCCTACTAAAAAATAGAAGGGCACAGTTATTTAGCTTTAACTGTTTCTATGTATCCTGTTACATAAAAGCTTACGGATGTGTCAAACAACCTACACTAAAAGTAGAAACAGTACAGAAATCCAGTACATGAAAAGCATCTCAGGGTTTTTTCTCTGCGTGTATGTATTTAATATTTCCTTATTTAATGTGACATTATTTTAAATAAATCAGAAATTGTGTATGTTAATATAGTGGTTTAGAGAGGTTTATTTACTTATACTGTCTATCATTCTGTTTAACGCAAAGCCCCACCACCTCCTAAGCGAGCTCCAACCACTGCACTGACCTTGCGGTCTAAGTCAATGACCTCAGAGCTTGAAGAGCTTGGTAAGAAAGTGTTTTTTGACAAGCATGCTGGGATAAAGAAATGTAAATATATATATATGTATATGTATGTATGTATGTTAAATTGATTTATAAGAATTGCAATGTGTACAGTATATAGAGCAGAAAGGGTTGTAAGAATGCTGCATCTTTGGAGAGTTCAAATATGCATGAATTGCATGAATAATTTTTTTTTAAACTTGTGCCTTTACTGCTATGCAAGAGAATGTTGATACATTTTTATGCATCATTGAAGTTTGGCACATTTACTAAAGAATAATGCCGTATCTTATTTTGTTAGCTTTGCTTTCCACATTTTCAGTTCATCTAATATTGTTTTATTTTAAATTTCTGTGGCCTCTCATTAGTGGATAAAGGTAAGCTGCCAGAAGCTGTTGTTAAAAAGCTGACAGTGTTAAAGCAGCTTCAACTTCAACTTGTTTTCGTTAGACTCTAATCTGAAAAAGTGCATATTATTATATCACTTTGACTTCTCTGCATGAAATAAGCTTAATTCTTCTTGCTACTGGTAATAAAAAAGTGTTGGGCATTCAGTCTTTTATTCACTAGTTTTAAGAAATGTGATGAGCGATTCCTTGAACATTCACATTCTAAATGTACATAATTCTTGGGGAATTTCGATTAGTTTTATAGAAGTGTAGAAAGTAATTGTTCTTTTTGTCCTGAATTTAAACTATTAGGTCATTAAAAAGTAGAATTTTTACAGGTAGACTAAAGAATATGATATGAATGGACTGTATATAACAAGACAAATGTCCAGTGTATATTTATATTTTGTTATTTCACCAGAATAGTGTGTTTAGCAAGCGACACTGCGTACCTCACTGCAGAGTAATACAGTCTGTCACACAGTAATGCTCATTTAATTACCTACATTTTGTAAAAAATTTTATTTTTGTCATAGACTCGTGAAGGGAAACATGAAAGAATCGAAGCATTGAGGATAAATGGCCACACCTTTTTTTCCCTATGAGTCAATTTTTTCTGGGGCAGATGGACCCCACCTATTCATTAGCGAGTCAGAAGACACATGATTTCAGTGGGAGCTCTGACAAACAAAAGGCTGCAGAAGTGATTATGGTCTTCTCTGTGGCATAACAAGCTAATGAAGACCAAAATTTAACGTTCCGATAATTTATCCCTGACAGATCTCAGAAAATTTGTTTTGTCTATGCTAAGGACCTTAGGAACCAGAGTAAAGGTTTCAGCAGTTTGTGAATGCTCCTTAATTTTTCTTCCAGGATTAAAATGTAGAGTATTATTTTTGGAGCCAATTTTTTGTTTGAGTCATTTTGATTTGTTTTCCTTGCATGGAGTGCTATGTAACTTTGCTGACTTATCAATAAGCTTTCCCGAGGAGACAGGAGTATTTAGGTATCGTTTTTCCCCCTTCCTTTTTCCCTTCTCCAAATCACTCTCAGACTGAGAGTATTTTTGTATTTCTCTGACTTTTCAGTCTTACATAGTAGGTACTGTTACTAAAACAGAGAGAAGCAGCACTCTTTTCTAGAGGAAAATCACATCTTAATAGTAACATCACTCTTGTAATGAAAAGCATTATATTTTAGCTTATTTGTCCCCTAATTCAGAGTATAGTACTTGGCCTGCCGTGTTCTCTTTGGCTTGTAGAAATCACTGCATCTCTTGTGATTAGCAGCCATGGGATATGAGTCTTTAAGTGAATTTCCCATCTATATCATCATTTAGATGGGCAAATATTACCATGGCAAGACTTTACTGTTCTGAAGATTATTTCTGAAGCATGCTCCAGGAATGTATGTCCCCTAATAAAGCTGTAGTAATACTGGAGCATAACAGATTATTTTCTTCCAAAAGCCTGTAAATACCAGTTCCAAATGATTCTCTAAACATTTACCACCTTAGCAAACTATGACTATGACTTCTGTTATAAATAGCAACATCTGTGGTCTACCTATTTTGATATTTGTCCTGTAAAAGGACTATTAGCAGAAAGAAAAAGAATTCTTGAATTGCACAAAAATCAAACGGATTACCAAGAAGAAAACATTTTCACTCATTGATTAAGAATTGTCTTCTGATGTATAACATAAATTGTATGTGTGTATATATATAATTTACATAGCTTTATATGTATATGTGTATATATTGGACATCTGTATGAACTATGAGAACACCCACATTTTTATGACTATTAAACAATGTAATGAACATTTTTTCATAATATACATATATACAGAAACTAAATAGAAAATATGAACAGATGAACACTGTGGATGTTCTCATCAATATATGTGTAATCTTTTTTCCGAACTGAAGAAGCTCATGGTCTCAATAATGTCTTGTGGCAAAGAATTCCACAGGCTGATTATGTGCTGTGTACAAACGTTCTTTTTTATTGGTTTTGAATGTGATGCCTTTAATTTTATTGAATGTCCCTTGTTATGTAGTATAAGAAGAAGGAAAACAGAAATTCCCATTTTGTTTTCCCTTAGAGTATATATTTCTTTCTTCAGTTTTCCTAGCTAAGCTAAATGACCTGATTTTTTTATTATTATTATTTTTTAAATTTATTTACCTTGCAGTCTTCACAGTCATATCCTTTGCCTGGCTTTGAACTTACAGTGTTGCTGACATGTTTTGAGCTACCCTGTTCCCCATAACACTTAGCAGACCATCTCAGTTGTTCTCTTTCAGTTGAGTTAATCCAAATGATGGCAGAGAACATGTGATAGTGATTCCTTTCCGTTTCAATCTGAAAAGGCGTTAAAATGCTCTATTATGTAATTTTAAAGCTTTGGTATCAATAATTTGCCCCAGTTACTACTTCTTAAAAACAATTTAGAGAAAAGTTGTGCATTTATCCCTGCCATATGCTGGGGAGCAACTTCTTATAGCTCAAATCTAAACCCTGATAAACTGGGCTTTTGCCAAGCTGTTTATCTAGGGTGGTTTCATAGATACATGCATAGTATAGGTTAGCAGAGAGAGGCTGACGTCTTAAATGGAAGAAAAATGTTTATGCTCAGAGTAACAGACAAGGATTTAGCATATAAAATTATCTTCAGAATTGATTCACAGTTCATTCCCTTTCTGTTTCCAAGCTTCAGTACGGAAGAAGAAGGGTAAGGGGAAGCATTTTGTCTCTTGTTTAACCTGTTTCTCACCTTTCCATAGTGGAGGATAATAACATAATGTAAATGTTGGCATATGGTCCAGTTTATTTTATGGTGTCAAACGTACATTAGTTATTGTATATGTTTTTTAGTTACTTAGTTAACAAATTGCAAACACACTAAGAACTAAAGCAGAAGACTACATTTGAAAATATTCCCCACATTCCTTCCTTTTGTCTCCTTTCCTTCATTTTGCCTTTCTTTCCTTCTTTCTATCCAACTCTTTTCCAAACCCTTCCATTTCATCTCCTCACAGTTACTGTGCTAACTGGCAGCCACTGAGAGTACATGGCCAGTAACACATCCTCAGTGTAGTCCTACGTTAGTGATTTCATTTGTCTTTTTGATGGCCAAATGTTACTCACGTAACCACACTGTCTCTATCTCAGGAAGTAGGGATCTTGCACACAACACTTGAACTTTTGACCTGGAGAAATGCTGCTCTGCACAATTTTAAGTTTTTATATAACATCTTCCACACTGTCCCGTATGCATGGAGTGCCGACCCCGAACTGATTCATAAGGCCACTACCTTTTCCCTGAAATCTCTCCTTAAGACCCGCTTCCCCTGTGATCCCTATTAAGCAATCATCTCAGTAATAATGGCTAGGCAGAGGAACAGGTAGACGACATAGTGATGATATTTTAATAGTTTTTATAAATGTAACTGCATATATATGTATACAACTTTGTTTGTGTTTAGTTGTATTTTTCCATACTCCTGTATGTCATTTTGCTTTCCTAGATTGTGAGCTCCTAGGAGCAGGGACTGTGCCATTCACACGTTTTCATGATGTCTAGCCCAAGGAAGAGCCTTAAACCTCTCTGGGCCCCTAGGTGGTAGCTGATAAAACAGTCTGTGTGCTGCTCTTTGACAAAGCTCAGCATCCCTGAAAGGAAGGCTATGTTGTAGGCAGTGCATCTCAGCAGTGAAGCTTTTGCTTTTTAATATTAAACAAAATCAGGTTATTTATTTTCTTCTACTTATTTTTCTCTTCCTTCCTGACCTCCTTTCAGGTCACTAACAGAAATACAGCTAGTGGTATTTTCCATTCTTGATTCAGAACATGTGCCAAATAAACCCCATTGCTACTGGTATGTTTTGGCAGCTTATAAAGGTCTTTACATTGTTATAGTAGCTATCCGTAAAGCAAAATACAGTTTTCTGGGTCATAGGTGAGGGAGACATTGAGACAGAACTAGTGGCTTTTGGGATTCTGTTTGACTGGTTTTTTTGTTATGTTTGGATGAGGCTTCTGGTTCAATGGGAGGCTGGGAAAACGGAAGAGCATAGGTGGCATTTTTATGTTGAGTATCAACTGTATGTCGTTTGTGACTAAAGAGAAAGGTAATAAAATCTTAAGGTCGCAAAAAATTTAGAGCAATACATCATGGGTAATATTACCGTTTTACTGCAGTTTCATAGCACAAATTACTAAAAGTGAAGGAATGCTCAGTGTGTGCCACTGGCTTTCTGCTTACAGCAGCTGCCTGACTCAGAGAAGTAACACCCGGTTTCAGATTGTGGTTTCGAAGGGGCTGTGTTTTTAATAGTAAAATTAGTCTCTGGATTTTATGAGATGTCGGAGAGGGAAAAGAGGCATTATTTTTTTCTTATGTGACTCATAAGTTTTCAACGACAGATTAACAGTTGTAGCAGGAGCCTTTTTTGATGCAGTACTTACAATATAATTCTAGATAATATGTGGTTAGCCCATTCATGCTGAAGAATATCCAAAATATTTGTGCAAATTAGAATTAAGATTTGAAAATACTAGAAATGATTTGAAGATTTGAAAATAATAGAAATGTTATTAAGCTCCCTAT